TGTAGTAGCAGTCCTGGAAAGTCCAGAAGGGTTCGTTAAGCGCTCGCTCCGGTTCGGAGGAAGGTCTCTTCGGTGGGAAAGAATGTCTCTCCCTCGCGGTCGCCGTTGTTGGTGTCGCCGTTCGCAGCGCCGTTGCCCGCCGTCCGCTCGTACCTGTACCCGTCCCTGATATCGGGCATCGAGTCCTCGCACGCGTATTGGATAACAAAGTTGCATCGGACGTTGCCGTCGCGATCGCCGCAGCCGTGCTGGTTGGTCCACTCCAGATCGAGGTACGAGCTCTCGTAGTACTTGAGCTGGCCCTTGCCCGCTCCAGGCTTGTCATAGTCGTAGTTGTTGTTGGTGTCGCTGCAGCCGGGCGGCGCACAGTTGTCGCCAATCTGATACCCGCCGGCCTGCGGCGGCGGCGGAGGAGGTGAGGGTGGCGGAGAGAGAGGTGGCAGAGGCGGAGGCGATGGAATGCCCCGTTGTTTTCCGAGTCGAAGAGCCGGTCGGCATTCTGCCGGTTGTTGCCCACCTCGTTGAGCTTATTGTTGGAGCCGCGCGGGTGGTGCAGGTAGACGTCGGCTACAGCGGAGCGAGAGGCGAGCAGCAGGAGGAGGGAGAGAGCGATTCGACTCATGGACAGCGGCGAGTCGCCGCGAAACGACTCAACAACGTGAGCGCGCCAGCTGAAGTTCCCCGTTTAGCGAGCGTCCGGAGTGAATTGTGTCTGTGTTTTTGTTCTTGTGTGTGTGTGTGTGTGTAGAGATAAAACTTCTGATGCCATGCGTGACCTAGTAGTGTCCCCAGCTATGGGCGTGTCCATGTTGGAGCCAGGTGTGGTGTGGACGCGAGAATAGCTCCGCCGTTCATGGAGGCAACCGATGCGAGTCGACTGGTGTGTGTCGTCGTGGTTTCGTATCAAGAATACTCACTCACTCACTCACTCACCGGAGTGAATTGAGACCGTGTGTGAAGAAGCTCCAAGGCCTCCAGGACACGCACCTCACCCACGCATCATGCAAGCCACGGAACGCACCGCACGTTCGTTCTCGTCTCGAATGCCCCCTGCCCCGTTGTTTCTGCTCGCTGCCACTGAGCTCAACAAACAAAACGGTATTGCTAAAAATCTCTCTCTCTGAGCTCGGGTCAGGAGTGATCTATCACCCATAGCCGAAGCCACCCGTTCAGATTCTGCCCCGTTAGATGCCACGAAGATCATGCTCGCGTTTTAGCGGCTCAAGCGGCAAATTCATGGAGCTGGGCTCTGCGCCGAGGCGCAGCGAGACATGGAGCAGGTTTTTCGGGCGAAATCAAGGTGGACTGCTGCTCGCTCGCTGGCTCGCCGCTCGCTCGCTCGCTCGCTCGCTGTTGGCTAGGCCATGATTTCGCTGTTGCTTGCCTGCTCCGCCCGTATCGCATTGGTCGACCCACCCGACAGCCGCTCCAGCCGCCTGCCCGCGCCCGACGGGGATCTCGCGGTGCGGCCGGCGAGGCGGCTGACGCTGCTGCGAGGAGGCGGCGCGGACGGCTGGGAGCAGATCGGAGCCCGGCCGGTCTCGATCGACGAGGAGCGCGTCTTTGCGGGCCGCGCCTTCCCGATGACGCTCTCTCCGCTCCTGTCCGGCCGCACCACGCTCACTGAGTGGGCTGCCGAGCACCGAGAGGAGCTCCTCCAGCTGGTGCGCGAGAACGGTGCGGTCCTGCTACGCGGCTTCGGCGGGATGGAGACGCCGCAGGGCTTCTCGGACTTCGTCATGGGACTGCGGCTCGAGGAGTTCGGCATGGGCTGCTCGGCGGCGCCGCGCACCGAGGTCGCGCCCGGCGTCTTCACCGCCAATGAGGCTCCGCAGCGAGAGGAGACGCGCGTGTGCACTCTTCGAAGAGCGCGGCTCACACCTGCTGCCGTGCGGACAGGCGCCGCCGCAGGAGAAGATCCCGTTCCACCACGAGATGGCGCAGTGCGAGGACAAGCCCGCCTTCCTCTTCTTCTACTGCGAGTTTCCCGCCCAGACCGGCGGAGCCACCCCAATCATCCCCTCCAACGCCGTCGCGACCCACCTGCGCGAGGCGTGCGGCCACGCATTCTCGGCCGTGCGCCCGGCCACCTCTCGGCCACCCCTGGCAGTCTGTCGGCCGTCCCTCGGGCGCCTGACTCTCTCCTCCTTTCCCTGTGCGAGGCGCACCCCGCGGTCGCCCAGCGGCTCGCGGCCCGCGGCATCCGGTACGCGCGCACGCTGCCCGCGCAAGACGACCCTCTCTCGCCGATCGGAAAGTCGTGGCGGACGTCCTTCAACACCGACACGCGCCAGGGCGCCGAGGCGGCGATGGCGGCGGCCGGCACGACGTGGCGCTGGCACGGGAATGGCGGGCTACACGCCGCCGCAGTCCGCCGTGCGATGTGAGCAGCGTCTTCTTCACGCGGCGGTGCAGTGAGCAGGCGACCTGTACACCGAAACGAAGCAGATGCCCGCTCTCGTCGTGGACGGGCGGTCGGGCAAGGAGATGTTTTACAACGCGGTGATCGCGGCCATCACCGGCTGGGAGGACGGGCGCAACGACCCGCTCAAGGCGATCCGGTGCGGCGGCGGCGAGCGGCGGCTCGATGCCGAGGGCTGTGAACGGCGCCTCTTCACGGCGGCGGGTGTGGGCAGGTACGGAGACGGCGAGGAGCTCGACGGCGAGGCTGTGGCCGCGCTGCTCGAGACGGGGGAGTGGATGGCGGCCCACCGCGTCGCCTTTGCGTGGCAGAGCGGCGACGTGCTCATCATCGACAACCAGGCGGCGATGCACTCGCGCGAGACCTTCACGCCGCCCCGCCGCATCCTCGCCTCCCTGTGGGGCGAGGCGCTCCGCCGCCCCGAGGGAAGGGCCGAGCCAGAGCGACAGTCCTCACGCTAGGGCATGGAAGCTACGGCGAAGGCGCACACTGTGGAAAACATACTGTGGCCGCCATTCTCTTCCGTCATCGTGGGTGGCGCGTGGCGCGCCTGGCGCGAGTTTCGGAGTGCTCTGTCTGTGGACAAATGTGCTCGAGTACAATTTGTGTGATCGATCTGGGGGCTAACGATTTTTTGCGATGGGACTCGAGCGTCTGACGTTTACACCTTCAAACCACGACACACAACCCGGATTTTGCCTTCCGAGAGCACCATCATCGGGCCATTGCGTATTCATCCTTGCCACCGACGTGCGGTGCTAACGACCCTCTGCCGCCGCCCCCACGCCGCCGCTCGCCGCACCTCCGCCCTCCGCAGCGCCGCCCCCTGCGTCGCCCTCGGCCACCTCGTCGTCGAGAGACCCCACCTGCATCCCAGAGAAGCGCCGGTGCGGTGAGCCGAAGCTCTCTCGTCTCCGCTGCACTCCCTCTCCCCCTCCCCTCCCCTCCAAGGGGGTGAGGGGGGTGGGTGGTTGTGAGGCTCTGCTTGTGGTTGGCCGCCG